TGTTCAAAGACCAGATCAAACCAAAAATTTTCGCTTCAGTCCGGGTATGGAAAAGGTTCCCTTAGCTTCCACCCTCCTATATTAGCTTCCACCCAACCAAAAATCAACCATTCTCTTTGGCGGCTTCCTTGGCTAAGAACTCTTTGGTCCAAACTTTGGTACATATTAACAACATGGCCACCCTGTAACTAGCAAAACCATCCACATTAACCTCACTCACCAAGTGCTAATAAGGTCACAAAAGCTGTCCACCTTGAACCATTTGTTCTCATAATGAAAAAGAAAGAGACCGCGTCAAAACCATGCAATTCAATGCAAATGGAAACATAGTCCGAAATAACCTTGGGAAGAGTTCTCTGAAGGAGATTTGGAGCCAAAACCTCAAGTTTAGGAGAGATAAGGAGTATATCGATGCAACAAAATATGGAATTAGCCCTTAAGTTAGAACTAGTCCACTTGCCACCGAATAAAGGAAAATGAATGAGGGCAGTATATTGATCAAATCAGGAAGTTCTAAGGAACAAACTTGGTAGGAAAACATAGAAGATCTTTCACAATAATTTTCTTTTAAAATTAGAAGTGTGAATTGTATTAATTACATGCACCAAGAGAGTGCAAAACCCAAGTACAAAAGAATTTATGTATCAATAGTACGTCAAACATTCTCCTAAATCCTCTATTGAATACAACTGTTGTCTCATTATCAAAATACCATGTGTTTAGAACCATCTCTCTAATTCGATCTAAAATCTCCTCCACCCCCTCAAAGACTTTTCTATTCATTTCTTTCCAAAACACTCAAATAACAGCCAAAGGAATGAGCCCCAACTGCTTTCTTCTCATAATTTCCTTCCACGCCCAAATCTCCTCCTTGACAGTGCCTGTCATTGCCCAATTTTATCCCAATATCCCAAGACACATAGACCATAAGCTGTTAGCTAAGGGACACCTGAGAAGTATGCGATCGCACGTCTCTTCTGCTCTTTTACATAGACAACACCAATTTGTCATGATATTCCCTCATTTTATTAGCTTATCAATGGTCAATATGCATCCTCCTTGACAGTGCCTGCCATTGCCCAATTGTATCCCAATATCCCGAGGGTCGTTGACCATAACCTGTAGGCTAAGGGACACTTGAGAAGTATGTGATCGCACGTCTCTTCTGCTCTTTTACATAAATAACACCAATTTGTCATGATCTAACCTCTTTTGTTAGCTTATCAATGGTCACTATGTATCTATGAGTTGCTTCCCATGCAAAAAAAGCTCTTCTTGGGGCCGCATTTACTTTCCACATTTGCCTGAATGAGAAATTTTCTTCAGTAGGCTCTTTCTTGGATAAATGTTTGTAGAACATCCCCACAGTAAAACTTCCAGTAGTACTGATGGACCATACAGGTTGGTTACATTCATTATTAAGTGAAATCAAAGTCAAAACACTTAACAACGATGTATATTCATTTAGTTCCCAGTGATTTACAATCTCTATTTCCTTTGGAAGAGTCCCCCCTCTCTCTTTCCTATCATCAATACCAAAATACCATGTACCATTTACTCTAACTCTCATTTATCCCCCCTTACTCTTCTCACTGAGACCCTTCACATTCTATGTGATTATTCTACTTATCATTTATCACCACAAGAAAAAGTGTCTAGTATTCTCCCTTTCTTATCATAATTAACAAAAATATTCTCGTCTCGTCAGCTCTCTATCTCTACCACTTAACTTTACTTTCGCTGCTCACCATCGATCTCAAGGATTTCTCTCTACTTCTACACCGAGCTTTTAGCATAAGAAAAACTCTATTGTTTGTGTCTTAAAACCCTAAATACAAACACCAATCAGTTTATGAAGCTTCCGAATATTATTATTGGACCAATGGGAAAAATTCACTACTACCTGATGCTCCCAAGAAGACTGAAAGTCATGTGCAGTCTCTCCAATCACCACTTAAGTCCTTGGCACTCAAAGCAAACTTTCCCACCTCCATTTCATCCCTCAACACGAAGACCCGCTTGAGATCACCAGAGGAGAATCTAGGAGGACCAGTAGGAGAAACAAAGGGCTAGACTTGGTGAAGGAGACTCACACAGGATTGACTAGGAGTAGGACCAGCCTCCACGGCTTATTGGATAGTCGCAACCTCCTGGCCACTTGACTCCCTTACATAATTAATGGTGTTTTAGAGGACTCATTGGCGATCAACATCAGATGACAAGGACAATGAACACGCCGCAATAGTGTAGTCACTTAGACAACCCTCTTCGTTAAAGGAGGCTCCAACGATCTAGTGGGCCAGAGTCAAGACTTTTTGGCTTGCCACCCAACGTCTCAACCTTTAGCCTTCTCCTCCATACTGGCATTAACACAATCGACCTCTGGGCCATTAACCAAAGCTCGAATCTGTTTGGACCTTGCATAGGGAGCCCAACCCTCAGAGAAGGATCCCAAGATTTTCATTTTGAGAACCCAAAAACTTTTCCTCTCCTACTAGCTATCATTTTCTCTACATCATTGAGACAAACGAACCCTTGAAACCCAAGCTTCCTCGAGGACCACCCACATATCACATGCTGAAAGCTAACCGGTGGTTGCAAGCAAGGCTCATGAATGTGACTCTGTTAAGCTCCCAGTTTTGGTCTTCTGACAATTGAGGAAGCTGTACTAGTGGTCCCTCATCCTCCTATCAACAGGGCTCTGCAAAAGCTTCACTTCTTCCTTCTGCCATACTCAGGTCATATACCTTGCTAATAGCTAAAAAGACTCACCACCAAACACCCACTCCAGTACCCTCAGGAGGAAACATCCTTATGGAGTAAATCAGAAAGAAGAAAACCTCTGATATTATTTTTCAGAACTATCAACTGAAGACCAACAGATTAGTAATAGGAAATAAAAGAAACGAAAGACTCAAACTGCAAGACATAAATTGAGATTAATTTGTTGCTTTCGATAGTCATCTCTCCAGCAACAGCTAACAATAAGGCCATCTAGAGAAGAAATGTTGAGAACAATACAAACCTGGCCATGTGGATGTTTACTCTTCTTAGCCCATGCGTGATGGGGCTGATATGCACCCATAGCTATTTCTGTATCTTTTGTACCAGCCATGGATCTTTGGTTTATATTTGCAGATCCAATAATCACATATTCATCATCTATTATCATTCCCTTGGCATGCACATAAATCATGAATCTCTGATATTTTTGGGCCTCAGAAACCTGATAAAAGAATCAACAGTTACAACCAACTCCTCAAATAATGGGAAAAAAAAAACTATTCAATGATTATGAAAATGTGCATCAATCACATCATAAAAGTTAATTGCTACCGGCCAGTTGAAAACTAATATCAGAAGAAGGAAAAGGATTGAATAGAGGAACTCCCGAACATTTGGCGATCTCAGATGTGTCGATATCAATGGTGACTCATTATTTCGATGAATCATTTCTTCGGACAGGAGAAGATTATGTAAACACTTACTCGAAATCTCACTTATCAGATTCCATTGTGGAAGACACAATTTTTTCTGAAGAATTCGCCATGATATATCTGATCCATGCATAATATCATGAAAAATGGATACAAATTTTTGACTGCTACTTAGTATCGGCAATAGGTCTGAAAAAGTATCTAAAAATATCAAATTTAGATATTTGTACCCTGTCGAAGTAAGGAACCATGGCATTCACTTTGTTGCTAAAGGCAATGGAAAATGGCATAGCTAATCCAAAGAGTGATTAAACTCATGCCCTAACTCAATAACATATCCTTCCATGATTTTATGCTAAGAGAACTCAAATAAAATCAATAACAGAAATGTGGGTGCTAATTCCCTCTTGGAATTTCATTGTGCCAATTATGATCGGACTGATAATATAGATCAGAATATCAGATATTTGTTATTTGAGGCACTCATAACATGATACTAACGAAAAAAATTATTACACATAAATGATACTGGAAAATTGAGCACTTGAGATTTGAAAGATGAATTAACTCAAATCCTGATTTCTTTCAAATAAAGTACGGTCAACAAGAAACTATTTATCTAAAACCACAATTAATTAAAAAATAAAAGCAGTTAATGCATGACATGCTTGAAGGAGGGTATAAGGGATTTTCTCTTGAACAGTTACCTTATCACCATTAGCATTAGATACATTATCAGGAATCTTTTCCCGGTTAGCAAGGCAATAAAAGTTCAGGTAATCTTGAGGATGAGAATCTGCAAGTTGCATTGACTTCAGTT